CCTGAATAGACACTACACCTAAGAAGATATATAAATAGCAAGTAAGCACATGAAAAGATACTCAGCACTACTGGTCATAGAGAAATGCAAATTAAAATCACAATGAGATACAACTACATATTCACTAGAATAGCTAAAATTTAAAGATATGATCACCTGGTGGCGCAGTGGTTAAGAATCCGCCTGCCAATGCAGGGGACACGGGTTCGAGCCCTGGTCCGGGAAGATCCCACATGCCGTGGAGCAACTAAGCCCATGTGCCACAACTACTGAGCCTGAGCTCTATAGCCTGCGAGCCACAACTACTGAGCCCGCACGCCACAACAATTGAAGCCCTAGAGCCCGTGCTCCACAACAAGATAAGCCACCGCAATGAGAAGTCCGTGCACAGCAACCAAGAGTAACCCCTGCTCCCCGCAACTAGAGAAAGCCAGTGCACAGCAACAGACACACACAACACAGCCAGAAATAAAAACAAATAAAATAAATAAATTTATTTTTAAAAATAAAATAAAGATATGATCATACCAAATGATGGTGAGTATGGAGCAATTGAAACTCTCATACACTGTTGGTGGGAATGCAAAATGGTACAACCACTTGGGGAAATAGCTTGGAAATTTCTTAAAAACTATGCATCATAATTACTAAAAATGGGAAGTAACTGAAATCATAATATCCATGCAATGGAATACTACTCAGCAATAAAAATAAACGTTTGTTGAACAAACAAGTGTATTATGAAGTATTCCAAGGACAGGGTTTGCAATACTGCATTTGTTCACTAGATGGCGTCAAAAGCCCACTCATTTCCAGTTCCATACATTTGCATCTCCTGTGGCTACTCTTCTCACTGCAGCAGGCAGACAGGGCATCATTCCCATTTAAACAGGAAAAACAGAGTCCTGGAAAGGGCAGGTGACACTCCATTTGCCGACTTGTCAGAGCCAGGAGCCAGGATCTGACCTATGTCGCCTATATTTTCTGAGCTTCTGAATCAACAACCCTGCTAGAGGGCTTCCCTGGTGGCGCAGTGGTTGAGAATCTGCTTGCCAATGCAGGGGACATGGATTCAATCCCTGGCCCAGGAAGATCCCACATACCGCTGAGCAGCTAAGCCCGTGCGCCACAACTACTGAGCCTGCACTCTAGAGCCCGCGAGCCACAACTACGGAAGCCCGCATGCCTAGAGCCCGTGCTCCGCAACAAGAGAAGCCACCACAATGAGAAGCCCGCGCACCGCAACGAAGACTAGCCCCGGCTCGCCACAACTAGAGAAAAGCCCGTGCGCATCAACAAAGACCGAACGTAGCCCAAAAAAAACCCTGCTAGACACTCCCACTTCTCACTTTCCCCAATACCCTGCCCCTCCCTCCAAGTCTTCTCATTTTCCTAGTTGCACCCTTACTGAAGTCAGAAATCTGCTTCCCAAATCCAAACCAACTAGCCCTGGGCCTGGGAGACTTGAGGGCAAGTTTGGAGAGGCTGGGAAATGGTGGAGCTGTCACTTAACTCAGGTTTGTTTTAGTCACCCACTGCAGTACTGGAATTATCAGAATAATGAAATCCAAAAAAAAAGAAAAAAAACCCCAGAGTGAAAAAGTCTTTTGTACAGCTGGAGGAGTAAATAAAGGACTTTCCTGGGGTTCGTTTATATTATAAAGATCTAGGCCCCTGCCTTGGACATAACCTTCAGAGGAATTTTATGGTGGCCTCCTTCTCTCTTTTTGTGCTCAGAAGGAGGAAATGACTTCTGGCCTCCTTCTTTGCCCCTTCCTGTCGCTGACCCTGGCCTTGACATTTTCCAATCCTGGCCAGTTTTGAGCCTGCTCAGCACCAGGAAACATGTAGCCCCTGGTGAATCCCCAGCCTCTCCTCTCTTACTCCTTTGCTCTCCAGTGAAGTCCTTGCGCTTCCTGGGAGTCTTCCAGCTCTGCAAGAACAGAGACTTCTCCAAAAGATGCTGAAACTGGGCATCAATTCAGAATAGGCACTTAAGCCCAGGGACCATTGTGTTGGGGGCTGGTCTGCTGCTGACCTGTCTGGACAGTTGATTTTATTATTTTAATTGAAGTATAGTTGATTTACAACGTTGGGTTTCAGGTGAACAGCAAGGTGAATATACATATAATTACATATATATTTTTCAGATTCTTTTCCATTATAGGTTATTACAAGATATTGAATATAGTTTCCTGTGCTATACAGTAGGTCCTTGTTTATTTTCTATGTAGTTGGACAGTTGATGCACATTCATGCACTTTAGTAAAAGCAACAGAGAATTCAAGTGTTGGGGACCAGGGTTCAAATTCCAGCCCTGCTGCCTTGCCAGTGACCCAGTCAGAGCTTGCTTCCCCATTTGCAACACATGAGCAACTTAACAGGAGTTCAGTAATGTAGGACAAAGCTGTTTGCTGAGGCCCCTCCCCTCCACTGGGCTGAGGGTGTAGCCAGGCTGGGAGACCGGTGCTAGGTGAGCATCTTCTTCACAACTGTGTCCCACACTTGGGTTTCACTGGCCAGGTTTCCTGGAAGGAGACTCTCCTACTCGTTCAGGGAATACAGGGAGGAGCAAGGACATCTCAGGGGTTTAGAAGATGGGTGGGACCGTGAGGGTTTTCCAGTTACAAGCAAGAGGGATCATCTGCAGGTTTACAGGCCATTCCACAGGACAAGTGACATGACCAGCTTGTAGCTTGGGAAATGACAACTGATTAAAAAACGGAGTCAGTTAATACGTCAGCGGGAACAGCAGAGAGCTTTTTAACCAGCTTTAAGTACTTTCATAGAAGAAATGGTAATACCGCTCCTCCCCATGTCCCCCAGCTGTTTTTCTCCATCCCAGCCCAGCTCACAGCCAACTGCTGAACAGCAGAAAGTACGCTGCTTTAAAGGAAGTGTCCATTTTTTTCTGTAGGGATGTTGCTGGGTCCTTCAGCTCACCCAGTGCACCGCTTTCCCCCCTCCAGGTCCCTGCTCTACTTGGGAGATTAGACTGCATGATACTGCAGTATAACTTATTAGACAAGTTAAACAGGAACAAGGTAGAACACCCACGAAAACACCCACCCAAACCAGCTTGATTTGTACACAAATGAATCACACCAATGAAAAGCTTTTTAATTTTTATTAATATGTAATTAAAATTTTCAATAGTGAGACTTCTCCAAACACTAGATACATGAGGAATACCTGAAAATTAAAGACAATGCAATTATATTAGGTTCCTATGTAAATACAAATACAAACCAGTTCAGGCTTCTGACAAATGAAAAGATATAGTTTGAAGCTACTTTTATCTTCCACCTCCCCTAACTCTAGAGCCTAGCACCCGAAGCAAAAGAAGAAAAACATAGAGTCTTGAGAGCAGAGTTAGTTAAAGTCAAGCAAAGATGCCACAGGGACTTGAACCCCGTCCTGGAAACCAGGAGTGCCAACCACCAGCATCTTTTGCTTTTTTTTTAAAGCTAGGAAAAGGCCAAAAAGCAAAACCTGAGAAAACAAAACCTTTTGTTTTCTCAGGAAAAGAAAAACCTTTATAAATAACCCTACTGAAGAGCACTGGAGAATCTGCTTCAGCTAAGATGCTAGCTTGGCCAAGTCTGTTATGTTCACCTGAAAAAGTCTTAGCAGAGAATTTTTGCAATCCCCCCCCCCCCCAACAGCCCCTCTCAACTGCTAAAGTGCCTGTCTACTTCAGTTTATACCTTCCCACCCAACATGACAGTTCTTAAATGTTATTTCTCCATTTACTGGTTTGTTTCTTTTAATCACTGGATAATAATGCCACACATCTGAAACATCTTAGAGCTTTTTAGTTGTGGTCTTAATATCATTAACTATTTGCAGGCAAATCAATGGTCATTTCTAGTAGTGCAACCCACCGGAAGACCTTGGCACCAATTACCTTAAGACCGATTATGGATCATGCCCACAAGGATCCAAGCTACCGGCAGCATCGAGGTGAGGGGTGAAGGGTCTGCGCTAGGCCAAAGGCAGGGGGTGGCGATGTGGCAGAGAAGTCACTTGTGGGGAGACCTTGCTTTTTAACAGGCTTCTGGAAAAGCTAGGGAAAAGTGGTTGCCCGCTTTCCCCCTTTCCCTCCCCTTCAAGCATCACTTCTTGAGGTTTGGGCTTTATTAAGAGCTGCTATAAAAACAGCTGAGTTGTATGTTAGGACAAGCCCAGGGGTATACAAGGTACTCGAGCATTCCTTTGGATGCTTCACTCCCCAAAAAGACAGCCTCAATGCATTGTCTGCAAAGGGTGTCGTTGAGGCAAGTCCTCATTTCCTAACAGAAGATGGGGTTGAGAGGCCGACACCATTCTGATTGACCTTGGTATAATAGCGCTTTGCTGTCTCTCTTGCCACAGGAAGGCTCCGTGGTTGTCCTACTTTAAGCCTTTGGTGCTTTTAGTGAGGGTTACCTGAAAAATCTTAAAAAAAGGCTTAGCGCCCACCTCACCCCTCCACCCCCAGGCCAACAAACAACTTGCTCGTGCTGTTGACACCAGCGTAAAGCTGGAAGGTCATTTAGTACTGAATTACCCGTAACAGATCTGACTTGGTATGTAAATATAGAAAAAGCTTGTTCACCTGTTGTCCTCATTTTGTCCACTGGTGAATTCAACTGGAAGCTCCTTCTATAGTCTGAAGAATACCATCTGAAAGAACTAGTGGTTCCCAATCCCCACATTTAAAATGCAATGTTTGGTTTGTTTATTAAAAGTAAATAAGCTATTTTTCCTTACTGGGTCTGGCTTCTCTGGCCCTTCGCATACGTCTGTTGTTTTGAATGTTCCTGTATATAAGAATTAAGACCAAGGGAGGGGAGAGAGAAACCCGGCACAAAGACAATGCACTAAGACCACTGAACTGTTGTTAAACATTTCCACTTGCCAGTTAAATTTCGTGAAGACTGTTGTTCGTTTGAAATTTATTTCTTGTCACTGATTTTAAAGTTGCATCTGGAAAAGACTAAAGGCTTCAGTGCCCTCCCACCCCCTTACCAGAAGTGAACAAAAAAGCATTTTACCTAAAAGCACAGCAAAAGGGACTTTGCTTCAATCACAAACACGAATGCTTAAAGCTGCAGAAATTTCCTCAACACTCAGCCTTTTATTACTCAGCTGGATTTTCCTTCAACAATCACTATTCCAAGCACTGGGGAAAACACAACTTTTAATCATACTCCAGTTGTTTCACAATGCATTCTAATAGCAGCGGATCAGAACAGTACTGCATTACTTGCCAACAGAACAGACAGACCTGAGATCAAGACAACTGCATTCTGTGTAGTCTGCAAAAAAAAAACTAAAACAAGTAAGCCCCACCCTCTCCTCCCTTCCCTCCAAAATCAGGGGGGAAACATTTATTGAGTATGCTGATAAACTCACTGCAAGGTCTCACTCACTAGTAGAGCAGAAGGCAGAGCCAAGTGCTTATATGCAAGTCAAAATCCTGAACAGCTTCATGAAGGATGAAATGAAGCCTCTGCAAAGGAAAATTCTTTAAAAAACCCACATGCCCTCCCCCACACCAAGTGCCTATATAAAAGGCCAACAGTGTAAACACCAGCTACCACTAGATAACGCGACTGTAAGCATTTAAGGTTAACATGCAAACTGGAAATGTGGACAGTAAGATCTCTCATTACTCTAGTTTAACCACTGGACTCCTTTCTGAAAACAGCATAGGTGTTACCTGTTTTCCTGATCATAATCTCCCACCTGTCTAAGAGGTATTTATTCCTTATTTAGAGGGCCTCTATTGCCATGTGCCTGGAATTATTAAATGCTCATCACTTTTACGAAGGATAAAATTTGTTTTTCCTGCCTTAAGTTAAATTCGTTCTTCCGCTCAACTCCTGATCTTGTCCGTTAAAGAGTGTTCAAAGTTTCTGAAAGATGAGAAGAATCCCCCCAAGATTGCCCAACACTAACTAGACAAACAATTTTATTTAAATAAGGAGACAGCTTTCTAAAAGCATACATTCTCTATAAAGTATTTTATTTTGAATAATTTAACGGTTTTCTGCACAATACACATCATAACATTTAAATTTTAGCAAGATTAACAATCTGAATTCTGGTTAACAGCACGTTATGCTACCCTTTAATAGGCTTTTCAGAGACTCAGTGCTAAACAAATGTTCTTAGTATTATACACATTACCTTTATTAATCTCAAGAGGCTTTAAGGCATTACTAGCCTCTGAGTGAAGTGTGCTAACCCATCATGGAAGCCCACAGGCACACCAAGTCCTGTCTCATTTTAAAAGGCTGGATAGGAAAATCCCTCAGGTAAGGGACCTAAGACCTCCACAGCTCTTAGCAAAGGTAAGCACTTATCCCTATCATGCAATACTGCAGAGGTACAAGTTAAACTTATCTGTTAACAGCTGCCTGCTGTTTTCTGCTCCCAGATGAAATGAAGCAACTCTTCTGATAATGAGAAACCTGTCTGAGGCAAACGAAAGATTGGCAAACAGCACAGCCTCCTCCTCAATCCACTTGATCCCACTCATTTCAATGATTTCAGCTTCTTTTATTCCAGGATTAATGTGTAGCATTTTCATTTCATTTCGCTTTTTTATTCTGCTTTTGTAAAAGCAGTATTGAGATGGACATTTGATCTTCATTGTATTTCTCATCATTTCATTATTTCTCATCATTACTTTTGTGGATACAGCTTGATAAGCCAAACTTTAAAGTGGTAGACTCCATTAACTTTAAATTGGTAGCTTTCATTTGCTTAATTTTTTTTGGCATATGCAGACAATGTGTTCATCAGTAGTTAAGGATCTCAGGGTTATGCTTTTTCCCCCATGTAGGTATGAGATATAATCTTTTCTGCCTTTACTTATCATTCACCAAGGAGCTGTTCCCCTCTCGATCTAGGCCATCATACTGCCAGGCTGGTTATGACTCAGAAGATGTTATCTGAAAAAAGTCTACAGGAAAAAAAAAAGGGTTTCCCCTCCCTCATCAACAAAAGCCCACCCTCTTATCAGTTATAATTTACAAATACTTAGATGCAAATTTGAGACAGTTTACAATAATTTTGAATCATACCTTAACATCCTGTTTTGCAGTCACACACACAAGTTTTTCCTACACTAAGAAAATATGCTTGCTTACATACAACTGAAAATAGAATCTTACTTGATAATATAAAAGCTACCATCAGAAGAAATCCCTTCAGGATCATTAAGCCACTTCCTTTGCTCTGAAGCTCCTACAGTAGTATTAAGTTTTATTAAACCACCTGAAAAAAATTCCAAAAGAGAACCACACACTACCATATGCAAACAACTTAAGCATTTAAAAAATTCCCAAGTTTTTAATCTAAGGCAGCCCAGTGGGCTAGACCAACCCCCAGTCCACCATTTTCCTTCCCCAAGCCCTACACTTTAAATCCAGTCAATCTTCATGAACTTCCCCAGCTGTCAAATTCAAACACTGGGGAAAAACAGAAACTAGAAAATTGGGAGTTACTTGCCACCTTGGAAGTTGAGAGTTCTTTAGTTTTCCATCCTAAGTATTTAAGTTCTCTGGTATGAGTTATCTGAAATCATAAACTAAACAATTACCTAAACCCAACCCTCCCAATCCCAACCATAAGCCACTGCCGACTAATTGCCAAAATGTGCCCCTCCCCTTTAATAAGTTATCTTAAAAGTTACATTATTTGAAAACTTAACTTCAACATTTGGCCTAGTCAAGCTCTTCTGAAGTTCTGCTGAGATGACTGAATATGACCCAAAGCTGCACTGTGCTGGTGTGCCCTTCAGCTTCACTGGGGAGAGATACTCTTCCAGGGAAAAAGCTGCTCCAATCCCTGAAGGTGTTGGCGCCAAACAGCGTAGCAGTACAATCCTTCTCTACCTCAGTTTGTCAATAGTACTATAGCATCTGTGGAAAATCTCAGAGAAACATTTTCTCCCCCGCCCTCTTCCCCAAAATACTTCAAGTAAAAATAACCAGTTACGTACTTTAAAAAGTATCTGATTAAGGGGTGGAAAAATAGAATAACTACCAGCCATTTCTCCAATGGATAGCTCCGCCACAGACCTCAAATGAGAGCTGCTTGTGCTCTCGTTTCTACAAACTGTAAACCTGTGGTGTTCTGATAGTCCTGATACTGGATTTTCTTTTTTCCTGTTACCTTGAGTCATTTGCCTTTGGAATTCTAGACAGACCTAAAGGGAAAAAAACTCAAAACATATTTTGCCCCCCCAAAACTTTCCCCCCAGAATTACACACCCAAGCTACACATTCAGAAAACTTTTATAATACAGGGTGAGGAAAGAAAAATAGGTCCTCTATTCACGAAATTGAAATGCTTCATTACCCCAAGCTAAATATAAAACCTGCTTACACAACTTGCTGAAATCCTCTCAAAGTCGTTCTATCAAATCCATTTGTTTTCCCTCATATTGGTTAAAAACAAAAACACTTGCCATCTACCATTCCTCCGGGCCTTGGAAGTCTGCCCTCAAAAGCTCCAGAAAAGATGCATGAGAAAATAGGCCTGCAAAAGAGAAACCTACGACACCCGAAAATCGGCCTATATCCCCATAAAACCCTTTATGCTTAGGTACACAACTCCCCCATTACCATTAGGAAATTCAAAGATATTACCATACTCAATTACAAAAAAAAAAAAATTAAAGAGAAAAAAAACCACCCACGATACGGACGACCTCACGGATTTTTTTTTACCACACCACTGGCTCTCCCTGCGGGCCTGGCACACTGGGCTGCCGCTCTAGGATCCTCTATCTATCCTCCACACCGCCTGCTCGCCTCCTCCGCGTGGTTGCCAAGCCAAGCCGCACGCTAGCTTCATCACCACATCGCACTGGCCTCCTCCTTCCTGGGATCCTCTCCTAGCTTCCCCTCCAAATCGTTAGGGCTCCTTCCTTCTTCCTAGCTTCCTTCACCAAATCGCACTGGCTCCCGGGCTCCTCTTCCCTATATTCACGAACTGCCGCTTGCTCCTCAGTCCTAGTTTCACCAAACACTGGCTCCTGGAATCCTGTCTGCGGCTCCTGTCTTCCTAGATTCACTGAATCCACTTCTGTGTAGCACCTGGGTCAGCTGTTAATTAGCGCCTAGTCCTCAGAATTTAAAAATTCATCTTAGCGCAAAGTCCAATGCAAAAATGTTAACTTGACGGTTATTCTTGCTCTTGGATTTCCTTCAGTTACAAAGTCCTTTAAATTTTCCAAAGGAAACTAAGCTACTGTATTTACAGCCTTTCAAATGTTTAACTCTTCCAAAAACATTCTTAGTTTTTAAATTACTTCAGTCCTTTTAGTAGCTTTTTGCTGTGATTTTAAACTGACTTCCCTTCTAGTTTTGGGATAGTCTTCTAAGTTGGTCCTGACCTACAGCAGTTTAAAAGCCCTCATCTTCTCAAATCTAACTTCTGCACCACCAGAATTAAGTTGATGGGCTTTTATAATTCTTTTAACTATAAAAAATTATTTTCCTTAGTTTTTGTTCCTTTACTTTATCCAATTTTTTGGCTTTGAACTTTCCCATCTTCTAATTTTTTTTTGACGTCTATCTGGTATGCTTATGTCCAATAGCTTGTTTTTCATTTTCTATCTGAAATACTCGACCGTATGTTCAACCTTCTTTCTCTCTTCTAGTTTTGTCTACTTTTTCTTCCGCCTCCTACCTTCTGGGCTAAAATTAGTTTTTCTGTCTTCTAACAGGCATATTTTTATCTTCTACTTTTCCTATCTTCTCTAGTCTTTTCTTCGCCTTCCTGTACTTCTGTCTTCCGAGTTTTCCACCTCAAATTTCTTCTTTCTCAAAATCTTTATCCTACCATCCCTAATTATTATTTCCGTCGGCTTTAGCAAATAAAGCCCTTATAATCAAGTAGGCTTCAAATGTCGCAATTTTTATTGCGCCATGAATTTGAAGGCATGTTTCTTAAATCACCTTCAGTTAATTTTCTTAAAAGACGGCCTTTAAAGAATTTTAATCCTCTACAACTTGACTTTTTTAAACGACGGTTAGGTTCTGTTTATGTCACCCTACGTTTTAACGTTAATCTAAAAGGCTGCCTTTCATTTAAGAAAATTCCGTACTGTGCAGTCCTATTTCTTTCAGCAATTCCTTTTAAAATTATTTTTTTCACTCCATGAAGAAGTTTCAGCTCCTAACCTCCGCCATGTTCTAAAATTATTTTTCTTCCTTTCCCAACCTACTCTTTAAGTCTTCATATTTCCCCTAAAATAATCTTAAGTTATCAAAGTTACTCTAAGAATTTAATGCAAAGCAGTATCTCAGTATTCTATTTATAATTCCTACAGAATTATACTAATCCTATCTATCTTAGCAGAAAAACTTATCTGCGGTCTCCTCAGGCAGCGCCTCCTCCCTCACAGCAGCCTCTACGCTCGCTGCCTCGATACCTGCCACCCCGCCCGCTGCGGCATATTTATAGAGGAAGGACGGCTGACACCCCCGAATTTCAATACCCTTCCGCCGCCTTTGTGAGGGAAGCAAAAATAGTTCCTCCGGAGGGGTAAAAATATTATCTGGTTGACGAGACTTTCTAGACTCTTAAGTTTGTGCAACTTGATCGCAAGCCCTGTACCCAGATTTTTAAAACTTATTAACAAGTAGATTTGAGCTGAAAATTTGGGCAAAAACAATGAAAATCACATTTAAATAGACCAGCTTACAAAAACTCAAAGCCATTACTTGGGAATGTTTTAGCAACTTTTAAAATACTTCTCGTGTTTCCTTGGAGTACAGTGGGTACAACTTAGTGCTTTTTGAAGGAAGGTTAAACTAGGTTTGCTGACGGCCTGCCTTTCCATTATGTAACCGAGCTTCAGCCTCACAAGTACAGACCGCAGCCATTTTAGAAGCGAAGCGTTGCAGTTTTTCCCCCAACGGCCTCAAGTCCTGCGAGGTGGTTCTGAGGTTTATACAGCAACCGGCCTGTTTGCCCTTTTATTCATGAAATCCGATCGGTCCAGGTTATCTGCTTAAGAATTCTACTAAATGTATAAGTCCACTTCTCGAAAATGTCTCCAACAGCCACAGTTTATTGTCGTCTTCTGCAACAGTGCTGGCCACTCATCTCAAAGGCTGACTAAAATCGAGGCATCAGCGTGGGCCTGTTACTTGACATGCTACATGCTTTTGTTGTCGATTCTGTATTTACTAAATGTCAGCTAGAGCCCTACACTTTTGGTTGCCTGCTTAGACATTTTAAATCAAGCCGGGATTAACTTCTTGTTCTTTCCAAACGTGAAGCGTTTCTAAGCTTCCAGGCTTCTCTCTCGTTAAAGTTGTCAAAACCAAGTTTACATGTCCTCTTTATAAAGTATCAATAACAAAAGTCAGTGATTTCACCTCCAAAGACAAGGCGACCTTGGGCAGGCACTCCGCGAGGGAACAAGTTCTCAAATTTTTGTGAACCTTTACTTGCGGGTTTGCTTTCCCACGTTCTTCTGTTTTACAAATTTTGCGTCATCTACGGTTTAACTCTCGAGACTTTTAAAAGTCTTGGGGGTTGGGGGGGACTTCCCGGACACCGGCTTCCACGCAACTAAAGAGGTCTCGGCAAGAAAATGCTGAGGAGAGGCCGAGCGGGCTGGGCACGCCCCGCCGGGGCCGCTGGGCCTCCAGGACCCTCGGGCTGCCCGGGCGGGGGAGGGGTGTGTTTCCGGGCCGGCGCGGCCTGAGGCCTTTGAGGAAGTGGGGGGAGGGGCGCGACACGAAGGCCACCGCACCCGCACCTCCACCCCCCACCCCACGCCCGCCTCGCGCAGGGATATGCTGGTCGTGAGCCGCCGGCTCCCTTTGTGAGTCGTAGGCTCGCGGGCGGGTTCCGCCTGTTCTAACCGGCTCCAGCCGGTCCCAGCCGCCTCCGGGAGCGGTGGCGGTTGGCGCAGCGTTCCATTGCGCACGCGCGCCCCGCCCCCAGGGCCGGTGCCTGTCCAAGAGAAAGGCGTGGGGGAGGGTGGCAGCTGGCCCTGAGCCGGTTGGGGCTGTTTGACCGCCCTTCCAACCTTTCGCCACGTTTAGGTTGCTCTTCCCTTCCAGGGGCTGCTGCCCTCCTTCTCTTCTCAGCCCGTGTCGGCCTTTCCTTCCCCTCCCCCGTCCTTTGTCATTGCTTCCTTATTATCGCAAAGTCATCCGTTTATTAAAAATTCGTACGTCATCCCCTTGTAGTCATCTAGTTCTGTTTATTGTAACATCCCTTGAGTGTTTGTATGTCACCAGATCTTACTAGTCTAGGATGCTCGAAGCGGAAGGGGTCTCAGAAACTGACCTAGCAGCTGCCGGGGTTGTTTTCCTTGAAAAGAATGGAGTGGTGGTGATGAGATCGTGGAGCGTTCCAGGGCACATGGTGGTTTCAAGCCTAGAGCCCAGGACAGGGTGGCGACACCCACCCTCTCGCCGCCTCTCACCTCCAGGGTTTTCAATTCTAGAATCTCTGCAATACCTTGTGTTTAGGCAGTAAATTCCAAGAGGGGAAGACGGAGTTTATTGGCAAGGTACAGGTTAGGATGGCAACTGAATAATGACATAGGAGTTGTAAGAAGTCCATAGTCTGTATTTTTAAAACCCCTCTGGCTCCTATAAATGGCGGTGGTTGTGAAAGGAGCAGGCCTGGGGGGCTCTAGCAAGTTAGGGTACTGTCTTCTATGCTACCCTCCCACCTCCTCCACCCCCAATAAAGCAGGGCCAGTTTGAGCAGCTACTTTAAAGTGACCCTGGTGAAGCTGTTCTTGTTTAATCACTCTTTCCCTCTCCCTGTAAGAGTGGAATATTACAGAGATGCAGATGGCTCCCTTCAAACGTAGTCTTGATGTTTGCTCTGGGACTGGAAAAGTTAGA